CAGTGACCAAGTATTGTGAAGACTTAAAACTTGGCCGCCTAAGAGGAGAAAAGTGTGCTCAACAACTTTACTTAAGGGGTCAAGTAATGTTTCTTAATAAAATATTGAGAAATAGTTAAATGTTTTTAGTAAAATTTTGGTACAAGTGATCTATGGAGAGAGTTACAGAATTGGTCTTCCTATGTTTATTTATTATTATTATTATTATTATATATATATATATATATATTTTTCTATTCAGACTCCTCTAACCACTATAGCCCGTCGATGTTCTCCAATTGCCTCTCAGGTTGGTACTTCACCATGAAATCATAGTCCTGAAGAGTTATGATATATCTTGCTATCCTACTAGTAGGGTTAGCCATAATGTTGAGGTAGGTCAAAGCCGTATGATCAGTCACTATTATAAATTGGATCTGTGGAGGTATTGGTAAAACTTCTTCACAGCCCAAACAATAGTGGTACACTCTAATTCAGTTATTGTGTAATTTCACTTGGCGGGCTTTGTTTATCAACTGGCATACTTCACAACACCTTCAAGTCTGTTATTGCCAGGCTGAGATAAAACAGCACAAAGAGTAAGGTGTGATATATCTGTGTACAAAACAAATCCAATGTTGTCTCGAGGGTAAGCAAGGATGGGGGCTGAAGTGAGCCTATTCTTCAATTCATCGAATGCTTCTTATTGCTGCTCCTTCTAGGTGAAATTTTCTCACATTTTCAATAGTTTGTAGAGGGGCATGGCTATACTCAAGAAATCTTTAATGAAGTGATGATAAAAACCAGCCAAACCTAGAAACCCTCTTAATGCACGAAGGTTCTTGGGTCTGGGGAAGTTACTCACAGTGGCTACTTTTGTTGTAGTTGGGGTTATATCTTTGTCAGAAATTTCATGCCCTAGGAACTCTATTCAGTCTTGTCCAAAATTACACTTGTTCAGGTTTAACTTTAAATTTACTTGACACAGTTTACCAAGAACGATGTCCACGTGGCTCAAGTGTTTTCCAAAACTAGAGGAGTAGATGTTGACATCATCTATATAGGCCAAAATGAAGTCACACATCTCTTTTTATAGTATGTGATTATTAATCACTGAAAGGTGGCAAGGGCATTTGTTAGGCTGAAAGGCATTACTATGAATTTGTAGAGCCCGAATCTTGTTGTAAAGGCCATTTTTTCGCAATCACATGGATAAACTCCAACCTGCCAGAATCCACTAGCAAGGTCCAGGATTGTATACCAGGTTGAGTTTTTGAAAGCTCCCAATAACTTATTAATTCTAGGGAAGGGGTAACTATCATGTTTCGTTCATTGATTCAGCTTCCTAAAGTCAACACACAGCCTCATCTTCCTATTTTTCTTTTTGACCAATACGATGGGGGATGCCCATGGACTGCACACAAACGAATTAACCTGGCTTTCCTTATTTTCTTTATTTCTTGGCCAATAAACTCATGCTCCACCTTGGACGTGAGGTAAAACCATTGCTTTACAGAGGGGCCTTCCTCTGTATAAATTTCATGTTGCACAATGGATGTTCTACCTAGTGGTCGGGTTTATGAGTGAAGAAGTCTTCATACTAACTTAATATCTTTTTCATTTGATCATGCTGTTCAGGAGTCATATCTCCAAACTTGAAATCATCCATCTTCTTTTCCTCTATGTAGGGTTTTGCTTTTTGGTTCATAACTTCATTCCACATGCACTCCGATTCATATTATCCTTTCCTTAAGCACAACCTGCACCAGGCATCGGTTTCCTTCTTAATAGAACAAAACCTGAAATACAAGTACGTTTGACTCACAAACTCTTCTTCTTCATCTTACTCATCCTCGTTGTCAACTTCTGATTCTTCACTATCACCATTGCTACTACTAACATCATCCTCAGAACCTCTGTCTTTTCTTCAGCTTCCTTTTTTCTTTCTTTTTCTTCTAAAGAGATTCGATCATAAATGTGGGTTGGCTTACAATATTCCATCAAAACCTTTATATTCTTATTATCATCTTGTATCATTAACTTACAAGACTCCCAATCTAAACATGTCTGGGCCTTTTTCATTCAGTCATTTCTCACTATTATAGCATAGTTTCTAGCATTAGTCACAACAGCTCGAGACATTATAGTTTTTTCTTCTACAGTTACAGAGAATTCTTCAATTTTACCCAAAGGCCTCTTTTGTTCACTATGTACTTCTACCATTATTACTGTTGATGGATGGTTGATGGTCATTTCAACATCCTTTAGAAATCCAGCAGAGACTACACATCCCGACGAACCACTGTCCAAAATCAAGATGATTGGTTGGCCATTTATCTGGGCATCACAATACATTGAAGTTATATAAGAGTCTTCACTTTTGCTAATACAAAATTCAGCGAGCTTCCCTTTTGTCACTCTTCCTGGCCGTAACACCTTCAGTGCCTTCTTCTGTATATTCAGTGCTGCTTGAAAGAGCTGGGCATAGGTTATGTTAGCCTTTTTGTTTTGCAAATCCATCATTATTGAATACAGCTGGATTTTTGCCATTACTGGAGCTTCTACTGGCTTCGTAACCTTCTTCTTTATGACTTTTTACCATTCCCTAGCTTACTTTTATGCATACTCATTTGCTTACTTGCTTGGTTGTTTACATCACTATGACTATTCTCATGCAAGGGCTCTTCTTCTGTAGGTTCTTCATCAACATGTTTCCTTTTTGACATGTATGCTTCCTCTATCTTTACAATAGAGAGATTTGTGGATGATCATGCACTCTCACCCTCTAAAGGTGCTTCAAAGTTTAAATGCTCGAAGTTACTTTGTATCTATGCTATCATTGCTTGTGCTCTTGGGGTTTCCTCCACTATCCTATTGTCATTCGCTAGGGCATTATTCTAATGCTGACCTGGGTGGTTATTACTATTCCTATTACTATTGACATGATTATTGGTCGGACACTTACAGGCATAATGTCCTACTTGTTGACAAGCATAGCATATGGGTGGCTGGTTTATTCTATCAGGTCGGTTTCTATTCTGTGAAGGACATAGTTAGTTATTGTTGTTGTTACTATTATTCCTTACAGCTATAGCTACCTCACGTAATAGGGCATAACCTGCTTCATGGAAACATTCAAAGCTGTGCAGAAGTGACTCATTGGTTCACAGAATACATTGGTTGGTGTAATGGTGATATGGGCATTTGGGTAGTTATATAAGCTAGTTGATGAAACAATGCTGACTCACATACTGCTGTTCCTCTTATAAAAGTTATTTCACAGGTTCATGCCCTGTCAATAGCTTCTTGGAGTGTATTCGGCATAAACAGTCCTACAACTAGTGACAGGTCTGGATGAAGTTCCTGAACAAACATTTGTGCCTTGGTTATTTCAGGATACTGGTTTTCAACTTGGGTTACTCGATTAAACAACACCAGCATATCTGCAGCATATTGATTCACCATTTCTCCCACACGTTGCCACCTCGTTAGTAATTCGGTGTCCATTGGTTGATTAGGGCTAGATACAGAAGTTTCATCTAAACTGGTATAAAAACTCTGTCTCACCATTGTCTCATTACTCCAGTATTATATCTCTATTTCCTGGTTTCTTAAACTTTTCTACTATAGTCAGTAAGATCAGACAGGTGTGCACTTGCTATTACGATTCGCCTGGCCTCTCAAATGTTGTTGGCACAGAATGCCCATGTAATCGACTCAATCCATTCTATTGGGTCCTAGTTTCTTCCACTGAACATTGAATAATTAACTAAGTTTCGCTCACTAAACTCTGATTAAGTTTCTTGAAGTAGTTTTATGATGTTTACTATAACTTGCAATAGTTGTGTTGCTTGCTAATCAAGAGTTGGTTGCTGTTCATGATCTATTGGTGGGTTTGGATTATCTAACAAACTTTCATTGCTAGGAGGCTTACTTCTTTCACAGATGTTTCCTCTATTTATCAACCTGAGATCATGATCACTGACCCTAGAGGTTATGTCATTAAGCATGTTCTCCTACATTTTCTATACTCTTTGTCTTATTATCATCGTTTTGCCTACACAGTGCTTACTTATGTTCTTTTTTCAATATTTCCACTACTCATATGTATACAGTGATTGTCAATGATTAATTACATAGTCTTTCAGTAGTTGCCCACTCTGGTATTCTTCTACACAACTGGCACTAAATTGTTGTAATTGGGGGAGAGCCTTCCTTATTGCCAGTTTTAGCACAGCACTACAAGCACAGACGTGGCCCCAATTTAGCCACGGACTAATTGATAGGGCTGGTTCAAGGTGGTCTCAATTACTGGATTACTGGTAGGCCGTCATAGGTCATGTGCCAAATACTAGGGGTCACCAGTCTCTAAGTAACAGTATAGGTGATAGAGGGGTCAAATGCCAAGCTACACTATGCAAGAATATCACTTATCGCTTTGCCACTAGTAGAGTTTCAATTTATACTATCTACTTATTAATTTAGCAGAATAAATTCTTTATTTATTGGGCATACGCCCTATTTATACAAATTTTAGAGGTTGGGTCTCAAACCCTCTGCTGGGGTTTTGGACCTGTACCTGGGGTTAGAAACCCTAGATTAGAGTCTCGAACCTGATATTGGGGTTTAGAACCCTATTACTACATTATGCTAACTACGAATTATGCAATGCAGGGTTTTGTACCTTATTCTGAGGTTTCGAACCTTATTACTATGATATGCTAACTTATTTATGCAGATCATTTATGAGGGTTTCGAACCCTATTACTATGCTATACTAACTTATTTATGTAAACCATTTATGAGGGTTTCAAATCCTATTACTATGCTATACTAAAAACAGACAGCAGAAGAAAAAAAAAAATAAAATGGTACAGAGTTTTTTTTTGTAATACCATCTAACAATAATTACAGGTTCATAGTAAAGAAAGACTATTAAATAAAGTATCTATGCAATGTTGCATAAATGGAAAGTATGATTTCAAATCTAACACAAGTTAAATGCTGCATTTGATATACAGTAGCAATCATAAATAATGGAGCTAAAAAAAAAAAATAGGCTGATCGTATTATTTCATGCAATTCAAATTGAATTTTTGATTTTTTTTTTTATTATATTCATAAATGGTATTCTTTTTCAATGTTAGAATATTAGAAATGGTCATTATTCCTAATGCAAAGATAATTGTACATGTATCACAAAATAGGTGATGCATTATTTTTGATCGTTTTTGACAAAGATCAAAGCATGTGATCTGTAAAATGTAAATATATATAAAAGAAATTTCATTGTTAATTATTGCATCTTGTGCAATATTAGAATTGATTAATAATCAAACAAAAAAAAAGAAGCATATGACTCCTACTCAAAGAGCCCATATATTACTTTCGCTTTAGAAAGGATACACTACAAGGCAAATAGGTTAGGCTCGTAATGTTTCTTCTTTTATGGTCTCACAAATAAGACAAAAGTGATCAAAACACCACATGCTTGAAGATTTTGGAAGGGTTGGTCACTCACCAAAAATGGGTGAACCAACGCAAAGAAGGATTGTAAATTTAGTTACCTCCTATCGGTACTCTAATGTCATACAAGTATGATCCTACTTAAAAACAAATGAAAACCTTGAAATTTCTGAGGCTACTATTCATTGTATACTCCATAGCTATAGTTTAGTATTAAGGGTTAAAAGAAAAAAACCCTACCTTAGTAAATCTTGTCAAAAAGAGTAGTACAAATTTGCAAAAAAATATGAAAATTGAACTGTCAAAGATTGATTAAAGGTAATTTGGTCCGATGAGTCAAAATTTCAAAATTTTGGGTTAGATAGAAAGCAGTACTATTGGAAGCATCCTGAGGAATCATTAAATCAGTTCCATATTAAACCTACAGTAAAGTATGAGGGTAACTTGATTATGATTTGAGCTTGTTTTACCTCTCATGTCATTGGCAGCTTTTGCAAAATCGACAGCACAATGAATGCTGAATTATACAGGCAAATACTTCGTAAAGATTTTTTAGAAACTGTAAGAGATCATGGTTTTGATGTTAAGAATATTATTTTTCAACAAAATGGTGCAACTGTACATATAGCGACTTTGACCAAATGTCTGCTTAGAAGGAATAAGGTTAAGTTTTTTGATTGACCTTCCTAATCACCTGACCTCAACCTTATCGAACACTTGTGAATTGAGGTAGACTGATGTCTTAGAAACCTTCTCGATCAATTTCAAGTAAACAAGACCTTTGGAAAAAGATCCAGAAGGTTTGGCAGGAAATCGATCTCGAAACCTGCATGGACCTAATTAAGTCAATGCCAACACGTATTCATGATGTGATTAGAGCTCAGAGTGGTTACACCCTATGGTAAAGGTGGAAATCAATTAAAATAAAAAATTTTTTTTCTATTTTTGATACAAATTTTTTTTTTTGTATATTGCAGTGGTGCTGCTGTAAAAAACAAGCAAAAATAATGCAGCACATCAATTTAAATAAAGCTCGTGCCCATAAAAAATTCAGTTCATTTTTTTTTAAAAAAAATTTTATTAGTGAAAATGATACTATTTGCGAATTTAATAAAAAAAAAATCGAGAATTCAACACGAATTGCACGAAATAATACGATCGAACCATTTTTTTTTTTATGCTCCATTATTTATGATTGTCACTGTATTATGTTAATAAAATAATTCAAAAAATTATAATTGCCTGTCTGCTTTGCTTTCTATAATTCATAGAGTCTAACAATATTTAGCTAATAACCAACTCTTTATAATTTTTATAAAAAATTAGGCTCCTATTACATAAGTATTTTAGAACAAAGCAATTAGTTAATTTGGTATATGTATTGTCTCAGGCGAAAAATTCGTGACGGCTCGTGCGTCACGATACGTTGCACAAGCGCCGATCGGGACCCACGGATTGTATATGCACGATCGACCCCCACAACTGTGAAGCGTGCATAATCGAGCCCCCAACGCCAAGACAATCAAGGCAAGGCGAATATGCCCAAATCGGGGAAGGCATTACACCGTGACGGCGATGTTTCAGAGTGGCGAAATCCAAAATAATAGAAGGACGGGTCAGTACAATTGCATTAAAAATAAAATAAAATAAAACAAACAGAATCAAATACTTACCCGGTTTAGGTGAAACCTGCGATGGTACGGTTGTGTAGTGCGGAATGATGGGAAAATAGGAGGGAAAGCTAAAATAAATAAAGAAATTATTAGTAACAGCCAAATGTATAGAAGCAAAATAAAAATTTAATAAAGAGATACTAATCTTTCGCGTCCCAATTAGAGGGAGAAAGATCCAACATCCCTATAGTAGTAGTAGTTTGCAATTAGTAGAGGTTAGTTAAAGCGCTAAATAAAAGAATCTCAAAGTAAAGAAATAAAGTTATACTCGCCCAAATCTTTATCTACGCCTCGAAGCCTTGTCCCGCCATTTCGTACCGTTACGCGAAGTCTTGTCCATTGGAGCGACAGGCTCGCCGTTTATCCGTCGCAGTGTTTACGTTTATAAAATCCGAGCATATGTTGCTTAAGGTCTTGGGTTGGATGAAAATAAAACAAAATGTAAAGTAATGCTTTTATTTTTTTAGTGTGTTGAATAAAATAGATCAGATTGCTGAAGAGAAATATTAACTAGAGATTGGACCCATTGAGAAAATCTCTACTCGGGTATTATTAAATTACCCGGGTTATCCAGGTAAAATATTATGTATTTCGGGTAATCATATAACAACAATTTCTATCTGGGTTCAATCCCTAAAATTAACTATTAATTCCCATTATGTATCATTAAATAGAAAGATTTTAATTTTATATTCATGATCGAATTATTTCAGTTGCTATTACTTATTTGCATTTAAAATTCACAAATTCGAAGCCCATGCCTAACTTTCCCTCCCAATCCGATTGTAGACTCGGGATAATTCTTCATGCAGATCGTGGGACTTGGTGAGATTCACTAAGATTCAGAGGATTCAGAGAATATATTATAAGATGAAGCATTAATTCATCCATTAAATTTACTCTCATAAAAAATTAAGTTTCTGAACTTTTAAAAGAAGTATCAATAATGTAATCACATCTGAATCGCCCACGTATTTGTATAGTCGTTCCTGTGGCTTTCAAACACCTAAATTAATAAATTAATACAATAATAGGTTAGCTCTATTTATAATTAGTGGAAAATAACTTTGCCATAAAGTGAGTTTATTTTACAAACTTGGCATAATCACCAAATCAATTATGTACGAAAATTTAAATTATATGGCTGATATCGATTAATATGACGATTTCGGTGATTATTTTGATATTTGAAAAAAGAAGAACCACGATTTATTTACGTATCCAAGTTCTGTACATCAAAAATAAATTTATTTGAAACTAATAAAACAATCTTAATAACATTAAAATCAGGACGCTAGTCATAGATTTTTATCGCTTTTGTCTGTATAACATTCAGATTTGGCCTATCGAACGACAGTCAAAATCCAAGTTTTTATATTTGAGGCATTTACAGAAAATCGCATACTTGTCACATTACACTTAGTGATCCTCTCAAAATCTGCATTGTGTTCTGGTATTTGCACGAAGCATTAGAGACAGAATACTCGTAATTGTATTTCATTACTTAGAAACATCTCGACGAGAAATAAATTAACATCAATATGATTTTGTTTTGTGTTTGTTTTTATGGGTTTTCCAAATTTCGTTCTTTCGAAATATTTTAATTTGTCGATATGTGATTTCGTGTATCCTCATGAGCCGCTACATTGCCTAGTTAAATGAAGAAGGAAATGACCTTAGAAAACGTTTTTATATCAGGCGTACGATTTGTCACGCAGATCAGGGGGGCAAAATTTTTAATACGAAAAACATTGCACGCATGTGATATGTTATCATTGGACTAGCAAGTAACCCGTGCTTCGCACGGTAATAAATATTTTTAGACGATTGGTAAGTTGTAGTAAATGAGTTTATATGTAAAATTTATAAATAGTGATTAGATTAAGTAATATATATTCACATAGATATGTAATATTGGTTAATTTTTTTATATTTTTGTAGCTGATGAAGGTGTAAATCGAGAGTTATGTCGTGATTATAGATGTGTTTTGTTGAATATTATATAGTATGGGTTAATATTTATAGATAATAATTTTTTTAAGTATATTATAGGTAAGTTTGTTAGAGAATATTGTTAGAGAATATATTTGAAATGACTAATGATTATTTATAAGGTGAATTTTGTATAGATTTCATATTTAGTGCAGTATTGAATATGAATATTTTTGGGTGATATTTGAATTTAGAAAAAGGAGTTATAATTATGATTTTATATTTAAGATTTAAGAGGGTATAGGATTTTGTATTAATTTATTATTTTATTATTTATATATGAATAAAGTAAATTCGAAGAAGGGATAATATGTATATAGAAATTGATATTATAGAGTTGAATAGTTTAATTTATAATTGATTATTTTTAATAAATATATAGAGTAATATAGTTAGATAGAATTAGAGAGTCTTATAATGATTTTAATGGAAAGTTTGTTTTATAGGTAATTAAATATGAATTAATTGATTGATGTGTTTGTTTTTTAATATTTGTTTAATTAATGTTTAATTTGTTGTAATTGTGATTTATTGTAAGTTTTTAACTTGTTGTAATCGTGATTTACTATAAGTTATTTAATTATATAATATTTAATATTGAGATTATTTTAGGGTGAGTGTTTAATTATGTGATCGGGTTCTTGTGTAGTAAGTTTATGCGGTTTTTATTAGATTATATGAATTTGTTAATTAATAAAGGATTTTATTGGTTATTTATACGTCTTTTTGTAAGTGTAGTAAACTTAGAACGAAATATATAGTATGATGAAATTGTAAGTTTATTTATTTATTTTTATTTAAAATTCGTATTGATTTTAAAAGTACATTATTTGTTTTTGTTAAAGTTAAAAGTAAAGAAAATGCTTATCGTTTATAGGTCTTCATCTTTGTTATTATCTATTTTAGAATTATGTAATTCTTTATTTTTACGAATTGAAGCATGTGTTACATGTTCTTTACCTTTTTTATAATCGTATAATTTCTTTGAGGATTTGTTAATGCTGTTTTCTGGTTTTTTTTTCTTTATTATTTTCTCCTGGAGGATCATTTGTAGGTTCATCAGTATCGTTGGTTCTTTTATGTTTCTGTAAATGTGAGTCATTTGCTGATATTTCATGTTGATATTTATTTTCAATATTATCAGATACTAATTTAGCATTAGAGCTGGTTTCTGTATTTTTAATATTTTGGTGGGCAAATAAAAGCTTTGATCGAGTTGATTTTATCGATGTTGATGGTGTTTGGTTTTTGTCATTGATGATATTTTTAGCGGGAATATGGATATTATTAATATCTTTAGCATAGACATAAAAATCATTATCAATAACTTTCATTGTGCCGACAATAAAAAATAAAGATTCATTTGCTTGGATAGATTCTTTTACTTGCTTGAATCTTGGTTTGAGGTATAAATAAACTATTTTAACAGTGAAATTGTATTCTCGAATGGCATAATCATTTACGATTATTCAAAAACAGCATTTTCATTTTGATTAATTTATTTGGTGTTTCTTGGTGAATACCTATTAATGAAAATTTTTAAGGGACATTTATTCGATAGTAGGCAAGTTTTCGGATCACGATTATTATTTTTTTTTCGAAAATTAACGAAAAATTTTTGTTCTACAAGAATTTTTATGTGTAATTATTAGATTATATTTTATTTTTTACTTTTCAGTTTTTTTTTATTTTTGACTTCAGAGTAAAGTGAAATCATTGTCTTATATAAAAAAAAAGGTGGATTTACAAAAAGGGCCCGGAAAGTGAAAATAATTTCAAACACGGGCCTAAATTAAAAATAATTACATAAAAGGGCCTAATTTTTAAAAAAATATTACATATAAGGGCCCAAAATAACAGCTCATTATTCAAGCCTATGGCTTGATAGCTATTAGCATAAGAAATATAAGCATCGACAATCATTTCCCGACACCTAAATCGGTTGTCAGTTAAAAGATCTTACAAAAAAAGGAATATAATAATATTGTTTTGTCTCTCATACGCTTGTTATAAACGACTAAACACATACGGGTTTTATTTCTTCCGCGTCGAGCATCCTCT